CATGCAAAAAGTATCAGTTTTCACTATTAAATTTCTCATTCTGCAGGTACTTCAACACTCCATAGCCAGCTGTTCCAGCCACAAACAGGAAGACCGTCGGAGTAAAGGATGGATACAGATACTTCACAAAAAAATTGTCCCATGCCTCTGGTAAAAGGCCTATATGCGACAGAAGAGTAAGAATTTCCACGTGGACATATACATATCTAAAGTAATTGCTTATAGATTCAGCTGCAATGTCAAACTAATTCATCAAATCCAAATATTTCTATCAATGGAGATATTTAAAGCGAGAAATACTTACGCTGTGTATCATGACAACACAACTCATGTCAAACTACTTTTAGTAAGTTCTGAAACTGTAATCTACTCACTCTGTTAGTACTTAGTTACAAGAACAAATGTTCAACCTTTGATGAAAAAAAGGAAGTTGTGAAAAATTATGATTATAGACTGTAACAATGCTCATGCTTCCTAACTTGATGTTATCAAATATCATCATATTGTGGGAAGTGCTTGGTCCTTTAATACTATGTCATTCCAAGCAAATGCTATTAAGGAGAACTTGTAGGAAACATGAACACCAAGCTTTATGCTGCCTATTTTAAACTGTTTTCATGTCCAGCATCAACACTAAAGGGGTTGTTTGGTAGGATGCACTAAAAATAATAATGCATGCATTAGTTTTGTTTATTACTAATACCTTATTTGGTATAGTTTTTCAACTTGCATTAGTTACACTCTATTTGGTATTATCCTATGCATAACTAATACATAGCAAACTATGTTATTAGCAATGCAAGGGTTTTTAATGCATGCATTAGCATGGTTAAAGCCACGATTGTCCCTCAAAACCTTTTCCGCATCATTTCCACCATATTTATAGAGGGTACTTTTGTAAACAATTTTTTTTTTTAGAAATTATGATATTCATGCTATTTTTAATACACCAAACCAAACAATGCATAAAAAATAATTAACACAACATTACTAAAGGCAACAGTACTAATACACCATATTCAACAGTATTCTTATACACCCTACCAAACGACCCCTAATAGAGTACTAGAGAGGCACTTGTGAGAGACCAACTCATATGTGTCTCCTAATTTTTATATTCTTAAGTCTTCCACCCTTACCACTCTATTGGACACCATTAGGATAGTAGTTTTAAAATTTTCTGCCTTAATAGGAATTTTATTCCGACGGAAGTTGCATTTCAATGTTTAAAGCTGGAAAACCATGTTGTGGTTCAAATAACATTCTCCAGAATAAGAGCAGCTCACAGACCAACTTGAGGTATGGAGACTGAACACCACTTTGTTGATTGGCACCCTTTCTTGAGGAGAACTGGAGAAGAGAGTAGGCAATGAGCAGACCGATCATAAAAATAGAAAACTTTGAAATGGAGATTTTTATTTTCAGAACTTGGAGGGAACCTAGCACTAGTTAAGCACAATTGATCTTGTTAACATGGAGTTACATATGTGTTAAGATAGATTCTAAATTACAATCTGTTAAATAAACTTTCAACAGAAATGAAGATGGTATGAATTGAAAACTCTATGGTATATAGAGACCAACACTATATTGACAAGGAAACTGTGGCAAATACTGAACGGGTCACCAAAAAGATCTCCTTTATACTTACTCTCTTAGCACTTTGGGAATTTACACCCTCAATTTTATCATAGGCATGTGTCCATTTGTGAACTAGGAGATTTACGACAAAGGGTTTGGAACATAGTCAGAACTATTATAATTGGCTCTATCAAGAAAGATTGAGCTGTTAAATATTAAGAGTTGTATGATTATAATGATTAGGCCTTGGTAATCATAGTCTATGAAATGCTTTATATAAATTCTCATCTTCACTTTATTTCTCAAATGTCAAGCACTTCATCACTTGTCTATGATGCATTAGAAATTAGTTTACATTTGTTTGCGGTTGCATTTGGAATACTAGGAAAATCCTTAGGGGTACATGCCCCCCTCCCCCCTTAAATCCATCTATGAATGTCTAACACTTACTAGATTCCCTTAGCTAAACCCTACAGAGTTCTTGTTGGACATTGGAACTTAGATAGTTTGTCTATACTGTACGGGTTCAACAAATGTATTTCAATATCTTTGTCAAATTACTCCAAATTGATGTAGTTTAATAAATATAAACGGCATCTATAATATTCTCTATTGGTACTTTTATAAATACATCGTAGATTTTTTCTTTTTAGTTCTTCTATATGTGTATATTCCAAATTAACACTTTCCTCTAACCGTGCTTATAAATGTCTGGTACTCATTTTCACAACTATAGTGTCTTATCACAAGTGAAATCTCGAATACACCCGTGTTAGTTCTGCATTAAATTGTAAAACCTTAACGTATATAAGAGAGTTATCCTTCGTATTACTTATCAACTAAGTTGCTCGGACTCTCCAAAAATGTTGCCGCACCCGTGTTGGATCCTTCAAAAATACACTATTTTTGGAGGATCCGACACGCACCCGTTGACATTTTTGAAGAGTTCGAGCAACATAGCTTATCAATACTGATGACTATTTCTGGTTTTCATTTTCTGTTGAGGACTGTGATGCGATTGTTACCATCATTAACTTCTTCTTAACTCAATTAAGCTTTAGTATCTGCCTGATACACTTTGTTAAAGCAAAACCATTTCAAGGTCGTACGCATATCACCAGAAGTTTTCAGAAGATTACCCCTGGAATCAGTAATATCATTATACATGGAAATGATTGCTCATGGTATAACCCAAGAATAATTAGGAAACATCATGTAAAGATGGAAAGTATTCTCTATTGGTACATTTATGAATACATCGTAGATTTGTTCTTTTAGTTCTTCTATATGCTTATATTCAAAATTAACACTTTTCTCTAACTGTGCTTATGCATGTCTGGTACTCATTTTCACAACTATGGTGTCTTGTCACAGGTGAAATCGTGAATACACCTTATTATATTTACATGGAAGTTCTGCATTAGAAACCTATAATGTACATAAGAGAGTACTGTAATGTAATTGTTAATCACCAATGTCTTCTTCTTAACTCAATTAAGCTTTAATATCTGCCTGATACACTTTGTTGAGGCACAACCACTTCAAAGGTCGTACACATATCACTAGAAGTTTTCAGAAATTCATACTAGGGAATTAAAACAAGTACTAGAGAGTCACTCGCACCTAGGATGTGATCTAAAGCAATTTTGGAACTCCTAGAATCTTCATTTATGTCAAGGAGATTCAACAGTTAATATATAACCAAAAAAGTTTGTTTTAGCCCGCATTGCACAGTATATCCCGACTAAGGGAATTAGATTGAACCCTTTTCCTCCCTTTAGCTGCACCCCTGTTTATACGTGCATGAGAAGAGGTAAATTGGGACTAAACCCATATACAAGTATGCATCTAATCAATAAGTATTTGAAGAATTAATCAGACAATCACTTATTTATATCAAAAGAAAAGAAGAGTTACTGCAAATTACAAATACAATTAAAGGGTGAAAAATGAAGGGGGCGTGGGCGTGAGCCACAAGTTTTACCTGAGGCAGCAAGAAGAATACCCTCGACAAGGATAATTCCACCAAGTCCTAACCAAGCAAGAAGAAATGCACTCTCATTTTTCTGAAATTCCTTGGATCCAGATTCCTCCGCTGGTTGGGTAGCTAAGCTGGGCTTTTGAATGGGTTCTCGTCGGATAATTGTATCCCTCTCTCTTTTCCCCTTTTGTTGTTTCTTCTTTACTGTGGTGGAAACCGATGACCCAAAACCTAAAGAACTCGAGCTGGCTGCCTTCTTGGCCACCGGAGATGATGCGGTCTCCTCTGAAGAATTATCAGTAGAAGAGTCCTGGAATTTGATGGAGAAATTTCTGGGGTTGGAGTGTTGATGTCGTTGAGAGTGGAGAAGATGAAGATGAGGTCTCTTCGTATGTGGTGAGTTCAGTAGTAGCGCCATTTTCAGTTTACTTTGTTGTTAACTGCCTCTTTTTTTTTTTTTCTCTTCTTCTTTCTTTAATCATCACTCTCAATTGCCTTTTATGTTTAGCACACATTTCCTTATTTCTTATCCCAGAAAATAAACTAAAATTATAGTGACTTTGAATTTTAAAGATAGACCCCATTTTCTTTTACATTTTTTATCATTGTTAATTTGGTGTTATTTTTCTTTTTTGAGATTAGTGTGAACTGATATTATTTTTCTTTTTGAGATATTGATATAGAGCTACTTAACAAGAAAGCAATCAAATGTATTTGAATTTGCCTCTACTTGTAATTTGTGTAGACTTTTAAAGGAGTAAATTCTTGTTGATAAAATCAAAACCGAACCGTATGAAAAATCAATAATAAGTATCTTATTTTATTGATTTAGCGTATTTACATACCGAAAACCAATAAACATCAAACCAACCTATGTGCACCCCTTAACCAAACACCCTTTCTTAGGTGAAAATTCATTTCACACATTGATATACTCCTAGCAACTTCTTGTTATTTCTTTCTCTATACTGCTTTGGACTATTTTTTTTTTCTTCAGCTGAATATCTATCGAAAACAGTCTCCTACCTCCAAAATAGAGGTAAGGTCTATGAACATTTTATCCTCCCCAAACTCCACTTTGTAAGGTTACACTAAATATGTTGTTGTTGATATACTCCCAGCATCATTACATCTCTTTGGTTTTATCAGATATAGAAACACTATCCAAATTAAGCAAAAAATAATCAAAATACACATAAGTAGTTTCTCCGAAGAATTGCTCAATATATAGTCTGGCCATGAGATGTTTCCTCTGAACGCCATCTTAAAGAATGACATGCATGAAAATACTTGCCGTGATGAAATCACCATATCAGCGCTATTTAGTTGTTATTACGATGGAAAGCTTCTTTTAAAATCAACTCCAACTCTTCAATGGTGGGCTGCTATCTGCGTGCACAATTCATGGTTTAGTACAGTGGAGGGAATGTGTTTTCTCAATGCAGGGGGTAGAACTCCTTTTAGCATTTCAAGAGTTCCATTTCCTTGCAAAGGCTTGTAATGTCCGGTATTATTCCCCCATGACAACTCCTTACAATGCCACTCCCAGCAAGATCATTCAGTATATCAGCTGGATCTTTGGCTCCTCCATGCTGCAAGAATTTTGTTCTTAAAGCCGAACCAGTGTCCAATGATAAAGGATCCTCTTGGCACATCCTTTGCCAGATACTCGTGGCAAAGCATTTTGCATACAAGTAGCTATAATAACCTGCACAAGTAAGGCAAAAGTTATTGCACCATTTTCTTAGCAAGGGCACTGAGCAAAACTAAAAATTCAATGGATATAAGCTACCGTAGAACTGATAAAATCCTTACAATTATCATTTTCAAAAAGAATTGACAAAATCCTTGGACCTTACTGTTACCATTCTCAAAAAAGAATTGACAAAGTCCTTACTGTTGCTATTCTCAAAAAGAAGAATTGACAAAATCCTTACTGTTACTATTCTCAAAAAGAACTGATAAAATCCAGAGATTCGAAACCAAGCATTCCAAATAGCAATGTTTATCAAAAAGAAATAAGTCAAATAACAATGAAGACAGAAAATCTTCACAAATATCTAATACGAATGTTGCTCTACCTTCTGGAAAAGGTAATTATTTATACACTCTAAACTAAAATCTTCTGCATGTACAGCTTTAAGAACAGAACTCTACAACTAGAACACGTTGAAAATAAAAGGGTTGTATGTTATGGAATAGAAAATTCTTGCATCTGCTATTTCCACAGTTCTCCATTACACTATATGAAGCAGTGAATTTCCTATGTCAACTATTGCCTTTTAGGGAACAAAAAACCTTTATGGACATGATCATTTGATTACAAAACATATTTTAATTTATATAAGTAGTCGTGGCATCTCAAAATTTTGGTTCATCAATCAAATCCCCTTTCGATAAGATTGCAGAGGTCTCTAAGAACGAAAAATTGACGTCCAGAAAAGGAGAATACATGATCTAACTCAGTAAGAAGAAAAGGCAAAAACGAAAATACCACCCACCATAACATCTTGCCAAAACTTTAACTGGCCCCATCACTGTCTCTCACTACCACTGAGTTCTGAGAATCGCACAACAAATTATAGAGGAATGCCACATCTACCAAGCAACCAATCTATCACTTAGTTCGCTTTTCAAGACAGACTCTCTTAGTATAAAGTTGATAAAAACGTTCTGATTGGACCACCAACTATGAATCATGCATTTCTAGTAAATTATGTCTGAATAGCCAAACAGTAGATGTGCAGATGGTATATCAGACAAAAAATAGTGCAATATTCTCACATATACAGGCAACTATCACAAACATGAGTCAATTAACTATGAATTATAATGTTCTGATACCTGCGCCATAGTTTGTAAGGTGACTGAATCGGGTATGCCAATGTGTTCCATCCACATGCGTCCAACTTGTATGTTGTCTTTTTAAATCTGCAACTATTGCCATCGTATCTATCCCTGTGGATGGCTGCTCCCCAAAGAGCGTTTGATCAACTAATGCATAGAGAATCTGAATAAATGAGAAAGTTGCATAGGTCAAAATTCCTGCCTCAAGTTTGATAAAGTGGAACTGAAGAAATGCTTATAAAAGAGTTAACTAGGAAGGGGCCCGTAAAGCATACCTGGCGTTGCAATTCAGTTGCAGCAAACATCTTTTTAGCTCCCACCATTGATTCTACAAGTTCTTTGGGAATAATATCACCAGTTGAGTAGTGTTTAGCAAATGTCTTTAACACCCGATAATCCCAGGCATAGGACCTATGGATCAACAGCAGTTAAAAAGCTTTAGTACTAACTGATAAGACGGCAATAACATGCGCATTTATCCTGAAGATAGAATAAATAGCATGTATATTGCATAATAGTGGTGGATTAACCTGAAACTAGAATTAAAAGACTTTTCCATTTCGTGCCAAATCTAATGACGACGTTATCACAAGAAAGAAAAAGGTAAATAAACAGCAGATAATCAAATGAGCAGTGTGCATCTAAACATTTTCTTCATTGCTGATGAAAAGTATGGATCAAAGATATTGCATTTGGCTCACTCAAATAGGTTTGAAGGCGTTTCAGCAAAATCAAGAACCACCCTCGTACCGGAAAAGTGTTGGTATTCCTGCACAGGTAGCCAGCAATCAAGTGAACTCGATTATGATTTCAAAGCATAAGTGAAAACCACTAGCAAATAGAATCAGAATAAAACTAGTACCGTTCTTGAAAGCAATGAATGTAGAGCATGCCCAAACTCATGGAAAAGTGTTTCTACTTCAGAATGGTTAAGCCTCACCGGAGCCAAACTCGACCCAGAGAAATTGCAAACAAGCGCTACAACCTATAAATTAACATGCACAGATCATTTTCAATTACTCCTACTAGGTAAAATAGTTAACATGCACAGATCATTTTCAATAACTAGGTAAAATACAATAGAATTACTGCAACGATCCACAGAATATCCATGAAGCAGTGAGCTTAAAGTAGACTCTAGCATGATATATGCATTTAAGGAATCAGTTCTTCTGGGAGGAGAATGCCAAACACAGAAAGTTTCATCTGGTTAAATGGGATAAGGTTATGAGGGACAGAAAGGGGGGAGGAATGGGAGTAAAAAATCTGAAGATGCACAACAAGAGTTTGATTTCCAAGTGGTTGTGGAAATATAATTCAGAAGATCAAGCATTCTGGAAGAAGATAATTGAAGCTGTCTATGGTAAAAGAGATGGTTGGAGACCTTGTCCTGAAACTCACATTCGACTTCGAGAGGATGGATTTGGAAAAAAATTAGCAGGTTGTGGGTTGAGTCTCAGTCACATTAAAATAGAAGTGGGAAATGCTGAAGACATCAGGTTGTGCTAAGATAACTGGACAGGGTATGAAAGCTTAAAGATCAAATTTCCAGTGATATACAGTTTCTCCATCAATAAGAGTGGTACTATAGCTGAATTTCATTCAAGTTCAGGCAAGCAAGTATATTTTATAAGAAACTTGAATGACTGGGAAGTGGATGAGTGGATTGTTTCTGTCAGATGTTGCAACAGCTAGATTGAGTTACTGATCAGAACAGAAGGGAATCCTTGACAAGGGCAGATAGTAAGAATTATAAGTTCTCAATTGGTAACTGTTACAGAATTTTGATGAGGCAATCAGACTGTTGGGAACCTAATTGGCCCTGGAAGATAAAGCTCCCATCAAAGGTGGCATGCTTTGATTGGATTACAGCCTTTGAAGCTTTCATAGCTCAGAATAATCTCCAGAAGAGAGGTTTCTCTATTGTTAACAGGTGTTATTTGTGTGAAGAGATCAGGAATCAATAGAACATTTGTTTCTCCAATGTAAATGGTCCAGGCAGTGCTGGGATATATTCCTCAGTATCTGGTGGTGTTTCTTGGACAATACCTAATAGCATGAGGGGTCTGCTGGAGTGCTGGCAGGGACAGGGAATTCAAAATACTTGAAACAAATCAGGATCACTATTCCTCTATGATTTTTTTTGACTCTATGGTTGGAAGGGAATAGAGCTTGTTTTGAAGGACAAAAAATCCTTTATCTCTAGAACTAAGCACAATTGTTCAATCTTTTTTTCCGGTGTAATAGCAGGCAAATTGAAAGTATGGAGGAGTATATGGATTTCTTGAAAATGTCAGGAGGAAGATAGTAGTTGCATCTTTGTTGTAGTACACACTGTACAGTAGTTTCTGATCTGTCTCGAGTTCAGTACATTTTTTTTTTACCATCTTGGTACCTTTTATTGATAATACCTTCACCATTTAAAAAAAAAAAAAGACTACCTTGAGATTATAGAAACCTAATAATTTACAAGTAAAAACAAACATTTTATTTGGGACAAGTTTCTATTAGCATAAAGTAAAAACAACTTCTCTGGGTGACCTTTGAAAACACATTAAAATAATACGTATTCCGTCCAATCTCATTTTATGTGATGCAGTTTGACTGTGCACAAAGTTCAAGAAAGAAATTACTTAAGAACTTGTGGTCTAAAAGAAGCCATAGATATTTGTGTGGCTATAAATTTTCTCATAAGAGTAAAAGGGCAAGTTTGAAGCTAAGTTGTTAGTAGTAGTAGTAAATATAGGAAGGTAGTATCATTCTTTTTGGGACACACTAAAAAGGAAAATGCATCGTATAAATAGGAACAAAGGAAGTAAAAATCACAAAATCCACAACTTGCAAGTAGAAATAAACATTTCATTTAAGAAAATTTTGAGGTCTATCAGAATAAAGCGAAATACTATAATAAACTTATTGGTTGACCTTCAGAATTATTGTCCAGTTTTAAGCTAGGCAGGTGCAAGCACACTTGATCTTTACCAATTTCCAGGGAGTTGTGAAGTTTAAGTACCAATAACACATCATACCCAATCTAAGCAGGTAGTTGAAAAGTCAATGTTAAAAGAGGTTGACTGATCAACAGAGCATTTCCTGGTGGTTCTGTATTCCTCAGACTTACAAGTTACTATAGCCACTTGCCACATAGAGATACAAGAAACTACGTGTGTAGCATATAATGAAAAACTGATATGAAGAAAAAGAGAATAATGCTCTTACATACAGGAAGTTGGTATTCTGTCTCAGAAACTCGACGCCCTCCTCGGATAGCAAAATGAGCACAAATGGGATGTTTACCTTTTCTTGATTTTAGATCGAGGTATAAGTACCCCAGGTCTCCCTGAAAACATGTGTTATAAACCAGTTCAAGTGGATGGATGTTAAGACTACTACTAAATGGACATTAATGAAAGAGCCAAATGCACATCAGGATATTAAATGATCAAGTCAACAGAAAGAAGAAAGGTAAAGTTAAGTTAAATCTGCCAACATTCTGAATTATTGACAACTAGTCCATTCTTGCCGTCCAAAGGTCAATATTGCAAAGAAGAGGAATGATTCATGTCAATGTACTGATAGGTTGATTAGTAAATAAATAGCATTAGTAATAACAATCACGAAGGAGATTTCCCCTTTGCCATACCAAATTTATCATCTCAAAAGGAAAAGGCTAAAATAAAGAAAGAAAAGGAATTCTCTTGAAGAGGTCGGAACTGGGAATTCAGTAATCTCATAGTTAATATGACATATGTTACAATATAACAAGACAACCACTATTTCTAGTATATTAAACTTGCCTCAGTAGGATGATGTAGCACTATCTTCATCACATCAGGATGCCATGATTCACCAGGTGCAAGGGGTACTCCATGAAAGGTCACACCAAAGAGTGACTCAACCAAAACCTTCAAACCCTCAATACACTGTTGTAAAGGAAAATATGATGCTATAACCTGCAATATTGATAGACAAGAATAGTTCTGTCAAAAAAGAGAAAACCCTTCAGAGCATGTAAAAGTCTTCAATAGAGCAGCATTATGCACTTCATATGTCAGCTGAATCAGAATTCTATAAGTACTTCTAGATAGTGCAGGTCTATATGGCATACCCATTCACAACAAAAGTAAGCAGAAACAGGAATAAGTACTCAAATTTTTCAAGTGTATGCTCTCTCCTCCGTCCACCTCATTTTAAGATTTACATCCAACTTCCCCAACAAGAACAAATGAAAGGTAACATTTCCATGAAAAAAAAATAAGAACACAAGACCAAGTCCAATTTATTCAATTATGTTAGTTGCACATGAAATAGACTACACTTTGACAAAGACCGAGACCGTAACGGTGGTGCTAGATTTGCTCCAAGCAGGAAAACAAGGATGTGGACAAATCCTTTTTAAAGACTAAGTATTTACCTCAATGCTTTGAGTTCCAGGAGGACCCTGACCTCTCAATGCCTGGGAAACATGCTTTAGTTTTCATTTTTAGTTCAATTTAATCAATGACTTTGCATCCCTGATTAGCTATCATCAAATAAATTGTACGTTCTCATCTATCTATGGATACACGAAAATAAGAATGCAGAGTAAGGAGAGCATTGATACACCTTGATAATAAAAGCTCAAAGAAGTAGCAAAGATAACGGAAAAACCGTTAGGCTTAACTCTTTACCGAGGAGTCCAACTTGTATTTTGCAGACTTCATCAACCATGTGAAGTACGCCTCATCCCATGGATCCAACTCTCCATTGGGATCACCACTATTCTCTCTCTTGAAATTCTGAATCGCCTCAAACTCCTATTCAAACATATGAACATTTAGAAGAGCTTGAAACAGGTCCTACAGAATAACATAATCAGTGTCTCATTCATATAAAGTAAAATCTACTTCCAGGACATACTTGATCAGCCTTGGGTCTGACCACTTTGCTCATCTCAAGCAAAAAGGACATGACCACTTCAGGAGATGCAGCCATAGTAGAATGCAGAGCAAATTCAGCATAAGATTTATGCCCCATAAGCTGCAAATTAAAAGGGCAAGGCATATTAGTATTGACAACAATGTCTCTTTTTTCTTTTGGGAAAGATGCTTAGTAAAATCTAAAACATCGTTTATAAATGAACAAGTGGAAGTAATAGTGAATAGTGAGAATCAACGAGAGCTATCTGGCTGTAAAATATCTTTGGATTTCTTCCACTTGAAATTCGATTTGAACCAAAGATGGAAAAAAGTACTGAATAATGATTGGTCGAATCAGGAAAATATAAATTCAACATTGCTAATCACAAGTTACAGTCTCTGCCCCGAAATAGTTATCTTACTTTCCTGTTTAGATTGTGACAAGATATTTTACTACATATCTTCTTATGCTGCTATTCATATGGAAACTATAAAGGGAGGTCCAGATGTATTCTACTCCAATAGTACCTTTTTGCATCATGTTCACATGTTTTTATATTTTTTTTCCTTGGGAGTATGTGACCATCACATCTAAAAGCGTAAGCTGTTATTCTTTTAATTGTATTCTCAGCAAGCTCCCTCATGTGTGAACCTGATTCTTTTTCATGGGTCAAGCACACAATTTTTTTTTTTGATAATGGGTGACGGTGAAATTTGATTCCTAGGACCTTTGCCAGCCCTGATACTACTAATACCATATTGAAGTGCGTGACTATCTCATCTAAAAAGTTCAGCTATTAGAGAGAGAATAGTTTTTATTATTTAATAGTATTCTCAACACGCCTCCTCACGTGCGGGCCTAATTCTTTTTCATGGGCCAAGTATGTGGAAAATCCATTTGATAATGAATGGCGGTGAGATTTTATCCCAGGAGCTCCACATGCACTGATACCATGTAAAGAAATGAATTTTGGGCCTAACTCATCCTCAAAAAGAAAATATCCACAAAGGTTGTTGCCTATGTACATACAGACTCACGCATACAACAAGTGTAAATAATATCCCTGACTTCACCCCTGTACTTGGAAAGGGTAAGCTTAAAGGACATTCCATCACCTCTCAGTATAATTTGAAGTTCTATTTTGAAACAAAAATTCACAACTACAAAATTTGTAATGAAACTGATGCATTAGAATTAGGTCACATCTAAAATTAGGTCTTCATAAATTCCATTTTCATTAGGTCATCTTCTTTATTTTCTTATTTGACCACATGGCATCAGAACCTCTATGATATTGGTAGAGACTAAAGTAGCTTCCGTCTACTGGCTTACGACCTTATACTGCCAGTCTGGCTGCTCCAGCAATACCATGCCTCTTTGGAGTGACCGTTTCAATAGCACTATATATCTTGTCCAGTGATTTTTCAGCGGCGCGCCTCTTTTTCAGCCATTTCCAGCGAGATTCCAACGACTAGACTTCTCTGATGAGATTCTGCGATGATAATTTTTTTTTACTGATTTTGCTGCAAAGTTTTCAACAACCAACTGGACTATTTGCTTTACATGTTTTCCAAATAAGCAAACTCAACTTGGTATCTCTACCATGAGTTCTAGGTACATGTTTGAATTTAGCAACATTACGTGTTAATATTAAGTTAGCCACTCATTGATTAAATTTAAAATGCAGATACATAGAATGTATATCAAACCAACAAATAGGTGTGTCTTGTATTTCATTATATCATCAAATCACCTTTTGTGGAATGTATCTCACACCAATAAATAAGTGTATCTTGTATTACAGTATCATCAAAGATTCAAATCAACTTTACTCTCTTATTTCACACAATGTTTCAGAACTAATTAAAAATGTCCCTTCTCGAACAACTTACACTTTTAAATAACAACATGCAGAGGTTTTGTGTAGGATCCTTACTGCTACCGATAAACAAAATCTCCACATGCTAGGCCCAAAAAATAGAATCAGGCTACAAATGAGGAGGCTTGTTCTAGAACTAAATAATTTAGAATTTGAAGTGCCCTTTCTCTAATAGCTTAAGTTTTTTGATGAAAAGATCACTCAATTCTTTTGATGAGAACTTAACACAATTCAACAAAAACTAATCACTTTGCTAGACCAAAAGTGTCCACACACCAACCTGTGCAAATTCATGTCTAGTTGCAATAAGCTTATCAAGAACCTCAAGGTTTGCATGTGGAACAGAATTTCCTTGAACATATGCCACCTTCCTGACCTGGACAAGATCATGAGAAAAATACACTAAATCTTTCAGTCATTGAATGTAAAGCTCTTTTCTTTTTCCCATCGGTATTTGAACGAAAGATCATGAAAATAAACAAATAAGGTAAAAACAGTTGAGAGAAATATAAATGTTTAAGTCTCTTCTTAACCTGTCAATGTATAGAGAGATTAGATGAAATCTTTTGGATGTCGAAAGGTGTTTATATGAGGAAAGGAATAACAAGGTAATTGCACTTAGTAGAAATAAAGTGAAAAATTGTGATTCACAGAGCAAAGGATCGTCCACATCTTTTATGTTCTCCATATTTGCCAAGTCCAAAAATTGATGCACAATTCATGAATTGGTGCCATAATCATTTTTTTTCTTTGGTGGTCTTCTCTTTTCCTTTCCCTAAGTCTAAATTCATCATTCAAGACTCCCATACATAAACCCATTAATCGTTGAAATAGATATTATGTTTACTAGGCTTCCACTGTCATCCATGATTATTTTTTTTACAAAGACTGTCATCCATGATTATCTATGTTAATGTAAGAGGTTTACCTTGAGCTGCTAATGATTTAGTTTACCGACACTACGAGAGAGTGAACAGGGAAGAAGTTCATGTACTAATGTAGATATGCATAATTTTGATTGCTCTAAAAACCATTTAAAAAAATTCTCAACCGGATTAAGTTATAACTAACAGAAATCCGAGGTTGCTTAATGTTACCCCAGCATCTGATGCACATTGAAGAAAGCCTTGCAGAGTACTTGACTCAGTTGCTAAGCGAAATCCTTTTTCTTTGGTTTTATCTCTTAACCCCCAAGATCCCTTAGATGAACCTGGCAGGTTACGATAGATAGGGCTGACAAGATGGTGCAATTTTTTAGGGATCTTAGACGCTGGAAATATATCCACATGGCCTGGGTCAGTAATAATATTTTCATTATACCTGACAAAAAGAAAAAGGAAAAATGAGCATTCATTCAGTCATACGGAGCTGCATGACTAGAAACATTACAGGAAAATTGATACATTATGCAATAAACAATAGTCAAAATGAAATTAAGAGCTGAATAGAGTCCTGTTCCAGCAGATAACCCAGAGGTGAGTTTGCAAAGACTACATCATTGGTCCCATAACTGCCACTTACACTGAACAGAAGAGAAAAAATTGTACTGTCATCAAGGAAGAGGAAAAGGAAGGAGGAGATGAACGGCTCATTTTGACCCTTCACCAGCTAGAGGCCTTCAAAGGTATTACTCAAGAGTTCACAGTTGAAAAGCATAATACTGAGCACCTATTTAATTCTGCTTATGCAAATTTAGATGCATTTCAAATTAGATGCATAAACTAAGCCTGAAAAATACGAGCTTTGTTATAAACAAATTAAAGAAAACATTAATTAAAAAGAAACAAAACAAATCTCAGTCAAACATCAAATTTTAACTTCTCCAAATGCTAGTTCAGTAAATCATCTAAAAAAAAGTTGCATGTGCTGCATGGGTGCTCACTTAAACTCAACTACAGATCTGTGAAAAACTGAATATAATTTATTTTATTTTTTTAATGACAAGGGAAACCGCAACCCTTTGGGTGCGCACAGGATAACCCACAATAGCAAGCCCGGTGCGACGAGCTCGACCCAGAAGGCAAACCCCTTGCTTTCGCTGGCAAGGGTTTCGAACTTGAGACCTCCAACATGGAAGTCCCAAGCCCAAACAACTGGGCCACCCCGAAGGGTAAAACTGAATATAACTTTTTCCATTAGGAAATATGATAATCACCCCAGAAATTAAATTTAAGTTAGAATAGCATAACTGGTAAAGATTCAGTAGACTGAATCCAACATATAGTCAAAATTCAAATGTTCCATGGCGTAAGTCTACTTAATTGAAGAATAAACGTCACGACCCGATTCCTCGAGTCATGATGGCACCTACTATAACCCACCAGTAGGTAAGCCAATCCGTAACCCGGAACAACAAGTAATGGGTCTGGGGGCAGAAACAAAACAAGAGTAGACAAAATTTAAGATAACAATATAAACATGCGGAAGCAACCCAAAACATAAATACAAATAAAGATCCCTCCCAGAACCTAGAAGTCACTGGTACAAAGCTACGGACAAAACGAGTTCAAGTCCCAAAAGTGGCCCACAGAGACTGGACTGTCTCGAAAGGTAAAAGACAAGTCTATATATATAGATGGAGACTGAAATAGTACAAAACGCCGTGTGCTCATCCCCGTCTCCGGATCAAACTACTCCAAACTGGATCAACGCTGGCCACTGGTGCTCGAAACTGGGTCTCCCATAAGCCCAAAAGGTACACTCGTGCGCAAGTTTAATTAAAACTCGAACTGACCCCCATAAGCCCGACGAGTAAACAGAATAACTATAACTAAAGGGAATTGCATAAGAGAACCCAAAAACGAAGAACATCAAATAGTAGAATATGACAGTTTGGAGGCCAGACCTCGAACCAGATGCTCACCAGAAGTACCCAATCACAAGTATCAAGTAACTGAGGCCGGACCTCTAATCGAATGCTCTATATAAGTATCTGGGCGATAGAGGCCGGACCTTAAACCGAATGCTCTATAAAGGTGCCAATATAGCTGTTGAAAGAGTCTCAATCGATCCATGCTCATAAATGTCCATGGAACGCCGTCCACACTTAGCCAATCAATGTAAGTCCTTGGAACCGAACCGAAAATCAAATCGCGAAGCCAAACTAGTGTCGCCGACATAACTCGTGAAGCCGCAACATCGGGGAAATAAGGATAACTATCGTCGGAGCAAGCGTATCGTCTAGCTAAGGCCCAAACTATCAGACTTAAATCTGCTACACCAGTCTACAGGGATCTAAGCCGACCGAGCGACATCAGGGTAAAACTAAGGCCTATCAGTTCCGAATCATGTATTTCTAAGGCAAGCCCTAGTCAAACCTAAACTAAGGCCCAACATGCTTCAGATAAACAGTAATCAAGCATACAAGCACTCCACATAGCAAGGAGGGTCAATTAGTAACACATAGCATGCTCACAGTTACCCGATAATTTCCGAAAGAGGCCGAAACATGATTTCTAAACACCTATGCATGATTCAATAACTACCAACCCAAATTCCAACTAATCAACATGCATTCACACTCTCGAGCTCAATCTAAGAGAGGGAAACCGTAGCCTACCTGTAGGCCGATCACGCGTGCTCCAAATCACTCCTCTGGAGCTTTCCCTTTTCGAACGGCCTCGAAACGCTGACACACTATCAAAAATAGAGTCACAACGTTATTACGGTCATTTAGACACTAATATTGCAAGAAACGGAGACGGACCAATTTCGGGGTCAAAACGGGGAAATTCGGACCCGCGCTGAAAATTCCGGAATTAACCCCAAAAATAAGTTCTTAATAGTTCCCCGAACTTGTGTTCCATGATGGGACACAATTTGGGGCTCGGAAACAACACATAGCCAACATGCAACCAAAACCCAAATTTTCCTCAAGAACTAAAGAAATAGGACAGCAGTTAATTCAGCATATTTACCATAAACGGATGGTCTATAGTAAATTCCGACAACACCACAACGCTCTCCTCGAAAAACCCCTCAAAATGGACTCAAGAATCGCTGAATTCGGACCTAAAATGGATGAGAAAACAAGTCTCAAAAATCCCAAAATCAAGCTCACAAAAGAGGGGTGTGTGGCAGCAGGTATTTTGTGAAATTTACCTCGAACGGGGACCCCAAATCAGATTCCGAGCTCACCAACGAGTTGTCCTCGAAAAATCTCACAACTTTGCCTTTTGAATCGCCCAGATTGGAGCTCCAAAGCTCAAGTTATCGCACTTTAAAGAAAATGAGGAATAAAGCTAAGTTGGGGTTTTATAAAGGGTGAAATTGGTCGCTAAAAACCCAAAAGCTGGTCGTTAAAGGCCCAAACTCTGATCGCTCAGCTTCAAAGTCTCCGACGGGGTGCTCGGAATTCGTTCGATACTTGATAAAAATAAAACAGATATGCTACCCTACTAAATTCGACATTCCGGACTCAACGGCGCAGTCGAAATTTCCATCAGAGGTCATGTGAAGGCCGAGCATTTGAGGCCTGGTGGCGAGTTCCAGAGATTACCCATTTCGGAGTGGAAGTGGGAGCGTATCACTATGGACTTCATTGTGGGGTTGCCTCGGACTTCTAGAGGTGTTGACAGCATTTGGGTCATCATGGATCGATTGACCAAGTCAGCACACTTCCTTCCTGTTCATACTACTTTCAGTGCCGAGAGGTTGGCTCGTATCTACATTAGGGAGGTGGTTCGTCTTCATGGCGTGCCTGTTTCTATCATTTCAAATCGGGGTTCACAGTTCACTTCCAGCTTTTGGAGGGCTTTTCAGGAGGAGTTGGGCACCTGTGTCCACCTTAGCACAACTTTTCACCCACAGACGGATGGCCAGTCGGAGCGTACTATTCAGGTCCTTGAGGATATGTTGCGGGCCTATGTTATGGATTTTGGAGGTCAGTGGGACCAGTTCTTGCCTTTGGTGGAGTTTGCATACAACAACAACTACCACTCTAGTATTCAGATGGCCTCATTTGAGGCCTTATATGGTAGACTTTGTCGCTCTCCAGTTGGTTGGTTGGTTGGTTGGTTTTGAGTCTACAGAGCCTAGGCCGCGTGGTACAGATTTGCTTCAGGAGGCCTTGGATCAGGTAAGGGTGATTCAGGATAGGCTCAGAATAGCTCAGAGTAGACATCAGAGTTACGCGGATCATAGGCGTTGGCTGTTGAGGTTTGCAGTTGGCGACCGGGTATTTCTTCGAGTATCGCCCATAAAGGGCGTGATGAGATTCGAGAAACGAGGCTAGCTTAGCCCTAGCTATATAGTCCCTTTTGAGATTTTGAGAGTAGTTGGCGAGGTTGCCTATGAGTTAGCTTTACCTCCAGCACTATCGGCTATCCACCTAGTTTTCCATGTTTCGATGCTGCGCAGGTATGTTCCAGATGAGTCTCATGTGCTCTAGTATGATTCAGTTGAATTGGATGATCGTCTGACCTTTATAGAGGAGCCGATTGCCATTCTAGCCAGAAATGTCAGGCAGTTGCGATCGAGAGCCATTCCTGGCATCGTCCAGTCGAGGAGGCTACCTGGGAGACCGAGCAGGAGATGCGGGAGCATTTCCCCAGCTTATTTGAGCCCTCATGTACATCCTTATCCTTTCTTTCGAGGACGAAAGTCCTTTTTAGTAGTGGATATTGTAATGACTTTCCTGGTCATTTCTGCATCTTGCCTTCTGTGTGTCATTTAGAGCGTTCCTGTAGCGACCCCAAGTCATGCATGACTTGCTGGGACTGACAGTTCGGTCACCGGGTCGTTCGTTTGGTTATGGTGCGAGTTTTAGTGTTTTGGAGCTTATGAACCTTGAACGATCATTTTCGATCAAAAGTTCAAGAAGACGACCTCAGAATAGAATTCTAACAGTTCCATCAGCTCCGAAATGGCCAAATTAGGCCAGTAGCATAGTTGGCACGAGTATCGAGGCCTTCGATGCGAGTTTGGATCATTAGGCGTAAAGCCTTTGAAATTTGGCCTAAGGTTGACTTTGGTCAACATTCTTGGAAAACGCGCTCGGATGAAACCTTCGTTAGCGCGGTTAGCTCCAAAATGTTGAGTTTGGTCTAGAACGACCTTTCGTTCGACTCTCGAGGCCTTCGGACCATTCCGTGCCCCTCGGTGGATTTTGGTTAAAATGGCTTTTGGAAGTGGGACCCACTTTTTATCAAGATGACCTCTGATAGTAGGGTAGCATATCTGTTTTATTTTTTATTGGGAACCTAACGAATTCCGAGCATCCCGTCGGAGACTTTGAAGAATTTAGCCAAAGCTGAGATCTGGTGCAGCTCTTTCGCGACCAGAGTTTGGGCCTTTAACGACCAGCTTTTGGGTTTTTAGTGACCAGTTTCACCCTTTATAAAACCCCAACTTAGTTTTATTCCTCATTTTCTTTAAAGTGCGATAACTTGAGCTTTGGAGCTCCAATCTGGGTGATTCAAAAGGCAAAGTTGTGAGATTTTTCGAGGACAACTCGTTGGTGAGCTCGGAATCTGATTTGGGGTCCCCATTTGAGGTAAATTTCACAAAATACCTGTTGCCACAACCCCCTTTTTTTGTGAGCTTGATTTTGGGATTTTTGAGACTTGTTTTCTCATCCATTTTAGGTCCGAATTCAGCGATTCCTGAGTCCATTTTGAGGGGTTTTTCGAGGAGAGCGTTGTGGTGTTGTCGGAATTTACTGTAGACCATCCGTTTATGGTAAATATGCTGAATTAACTGTTGTCCCATTTCTTTAGTTCTTGAGGAAAATTTGGATTTTGGTTGCATGTTGGTTCTGTGTTGTTTCCGAGCCCCAAATTGTGTCCCATCATGGAACACAAGTTCGGGGAGCTGTTAAGAACTTATTTTTGGGGTTAATTCCGGAATTTTCAGCGCGGGTCCGAATTTCCCCGTTTTGACCCCGAAATTGGTCCGTCTCCGTTTCTTGCGATTTTAGTGTCTAAACGACCGTAATAACGTTGTGACTCTATTTTTGATAGTGTGTCAGCGCTTCGAGGCCGTTCGAAAAGGGAAAGCTTCAGAGGAGTAATTTTGGAGCGCGCGTGATCGGCCTACAGGTAAGCTACGGTTTTCCTCTCTTAGATTGAGCTCGAGAGTGTGAATGCATGTTGATTAGTTGGGATTTGGGTTGGTAGTTATTGAATCATGCATAGGTGTTTAGAAATCATGTTTCGGCCTCTTTTGGGAATTATCGGGTAACTGTGAGCATGCTATGTGTTACTAATTGACCCTCCTTGCTATGTGGAGTGCTTGTATGCTTGATTACTGTTTATCTGAAGCATGTTGGGCCTTAGTTTAGGTTTGACTAGGGCTTGCCTTAGAAATACATGATTCGGAACTGATAGGCCTTAGTTTTACCCTGATGTCGCTCGGTCGGCTTAGATCCCTGTAGACTGGTGTAGCAGATTTAAGTCCGATAGTTTGGGCCTTAGCTAGACGATACGCTTGCTCCGACGATAGTTATCCTTATTTCCCCGATGTTACGGCTTCACGAGTTATGTCGGTGACACTAGTTCAGCTTCGCGATTTGAATTTGATTTTCGATTCGGTTCCAAGGACTTACATTGATTGGCTAAGTATGGACGGCATTCCACGGACATTTATGAGCATGGATCGATTGGGACTCTTTCAACAACTATATTGGCACCTTTATAAAGTATCCGGTTTAAGGTCCGGCCTCTATCGCCCAGATACTTATAAAGAGCATCCGGTTAGAGGTCCGGCCTCAGTTACTTGATACTTGTGATTGGTTACTTGGGTACTTCTGGTGAGCATCCGGTTCGAGGATCAGCCTCCGTACTGTCATATTCTACTAATTGAGGTTGAGGTTCTGGTTCGATGTTCTTCGTTTTTGGGTTCTCTTATGCAATTCTCTTTAGTTACAGTTATTCTGTGTACTCGTCGGGCTTATAGGGGTCCGTTCGAGTTTTAATTAAACTTGCGCACGAGTGTACCTTCTAGGCTTATGGGGGCCTATTTAGGTGTAGTTAGCTTATAGATTACTTTAGTTAGTTCTTTCTACACTCGTGTGCATTCCATTGTTACTTAGATTTCTGTTCTTGACCTCTGTTTGTGTTATTCCTTCTTTTCATATTGCCTTTACTTTTCAAGTTCAATCGGCCTATGATGCCTACTGGGTACCTATTGTTTTGGTACTCATGTTACACTCTGCATCTGTTTCGTGATGCAGGTCCGAGCACCAGTGGCCAGCGTTGATCCAATTTGGAGTAGTTTGATCTGGAGACGGGGGTGAGCACACGGCGTTTTGTACTATTTCAGTCTTTATTTGTATATATAGACTTGTCTTTTACCTTTCGAGACAGTCCAGTCTCTGTGGTCCACTTTTGGGACTTGTACTCGTTTTGTCAGTAGTTCTATACTAGTGACTTCCAGGTTCTAGGAGAGATCTTTATTTGTATTTATGTTTTGGGTTGCTTCCGCTTGTTTATATTGTTATCTTAAATTTTGCCTATTCTTGTTTAGTTTCTGCCCTCAGACCTATTACTTGTTGTTCCGGGTTACGGGTTGGCTTACCTACTGGTGGGTTATAGTAGGTGCCATCATGACTCGAGGAATCGGGTCGTGACAAGTGTGATTCAAATATCAATTGATATAAAACAAATAGTACACAAGAGGGCAAGAAATAGTGGGTAAATCTCATTTCAAATACAAAACCAACTTCTAGACCTACAAGCATCATGTGATCTCTTTTAACAACAGAATGAAAATTACAGAAAACATCAAAAAGGTCCATCAGTTCATAAAATTCCAGGAAGACTAACAAGGAGGCGATTCTCACTTACTCTCTAGACAACTGAATAATGTCAATGGCAAGCTCATTAGCTCGATCCAGTTTTTCTGTGAAACCACCAAAGGTTCTTAAATTAGTGCAACAGCAACGATTTACCGAGAAAAACAGCAGTTGTAAGAAGTCAAGTACCAGAGCAAAGATGGATTCCACCCTTCTCTAAGTCCATTCGTAGAAAGCGGGCTGCCCTATGCGCTTCATGTGTGAGTGAATTGTTGTCTTTTTCTGCTTTGTTCACTGCCTTGTATATACTATGGTTTGTATTAAGATGCTGCATACCAAGGAGAAAAAAAGTCAATAAACCAATTGCACTGAGAATCTTCCAAAGCAACTACATCTTGAAGAGAATCCATCACTGACAAGTGACATTTCCAGAATAAGGCTACCCTTATACAAGTATTTCATTAATCTAGTGAGCATTGCCAGCTTGGAGACAGTTTTGGTTCCCCAACCCCTCAGGGGGTGGGGGGGGGGAGGTAGTAACAGATTCTACATGAGGGTGGATTTACTTTTACCTTCTTCATTTTCTACTTGGTATTAATCTGATTCTTCAGTTCATGGCTCAAGTTGTTAATTTGACAAAGACATGTGCAAAGGATAATCAGTGCGAGAATAAACCGAATCCAGATCACCTCAAACTTCAGGAGTCTACTGAAGTTTACGTCTAATTATTGGCAACCATCAAGTGCAAGAAAAGACAAAGATCAAAAAGTGTATCAAGGAGCATACACCAAATGAGACGGTCAAGTGACATAAAAATGTAAAATCCTAATGATCCGACTTTTGTCTACCATTAGATAGTTCAACTATTTATTCTTTGACATCACTAACTAGCTGAAATTTGAGGCAATTTAGGTCCAATACAACAGTCAGTGTAAACACAAGTACCATCATTTTATATTCCTTCAACTTTTATCAGTCTAAAATGGATCTCCAGGTTTTACTTTCCCATAGAGTATGGGTAAGAGCTCTTGGATGGTAGGGAATTATACAGCTTAAGCAGCTATTATTTCAAATTTGATATAACCAGCAAGACAAAAAAAAAAAAAACTAATAAACCCAATCAAATTTCAGGAACCTTACGTGTAAAAACTCATTTACTCTCAAGGATGCCTTGCTTGCCTCAACAACAAACTCCCTAAAATGTGACAATTTTTATGTAAGTACGCAAAGCAAATGAAAAGAAGATCAGAAACTGTAGATACGGATGCATAGGTTTATTTCAATCCTAGTTCACCACCTGTCTGGATGAGTATGTCTGCACAATTCAGCTGAATCAATTACTGAGCACACCTATCAAATTAAATAGGTCAGTTATGGTCTGGCGTCTTGTTTCAACAAAAGCAGAATTAGACCACAAAAACCCAAACTTACAGTATCAGAAATCTCATCCATTGCCCGGATAATTTCGGGAGATGAGGGCATGCCAGCGATATAGTTCACAAGTTCTTGTGACCTATTAAGTATGTGAAATTTTTCTATCAAACACGTGGAGGACATGAAACAGCAAACACTTATTTAACTCCAGATGAAGTAAAGCAATTTCTGTAACATTGCAATAAAAGACAAGCAAAACAATCGACATTCACCGAACGAAAGTAGAGAATTTTTGCTATCTGTTTTGTAAATGCTTACCTCTCAATAGCATCGTCAACGAATCGTTGGAATCCTTTGGGAGTTTTCAAATGATGAAAGCCGTAGAGGCCCGTCTCTTTGATTGAGGGAGCTGTAGATGTTGAAATGTGGATGAAGTTGGAGTTGGCTCGTACATGAGCAGCGGCGCACTTGCGAATTAGAGCGTGCATGGCGTTCGCCCTAAACGAAACTGCTGACTCTTAACAACGAGGTTCTGCTCCTCTTGTTTGCTCAATCTGCAGAAGGGCCCGGCTCTAATCGGAGTCCAAGCAGTAGAAACTGGAAACCGGGAAAAGAAGTCCGGTGAGAAATGGAGTTTATCGGCTTGATAAAGCGTTCTGGCAGAAGGTCTAACGACAATTTTGACCGAAGAATGACAAAAATGCCCCTTGTTCCAAATGGACTTTTTCCCCTCAAATTCAATTCAAGGAAAGTGACTTTCCTCTATAAAATAAGGAAAATATTTTTCAAATTCTCTTTCAATTTCACTAACCAGTCCAATTCAGACCTAACTTGAGGTCAAGTTAGTCGGATCTCGATCCTAGTTTGGGATTATGTTCAGGGTTAATTAGCTATCGAGTTGTGGTTGGGGTTGTAGTCGAATCATGAATTAGGGTTAGGCCATGGTCGAGTTGAGGATCGAGTTTTTAGTCGGGGTCAAGATCAGGGGTTGGGTCTAGAGTCTCAAGTCAGAGTTAGGAGTTGGTCTTGGGATCAGGAGTTGGGACAGGAGTCAGGTCTCGAATCTCAGGTTTGAGTCGAGTTTCAGGATGAGCCGGTGCTGGGGTCAGGTCGAATCTCGAGTTGTGATCAATATAGGTGCTCGGGTTTGTGTTAATGATGGATTATTTCGGGTTTGATATTGTTATATTTACCCATATTATACTTAAATATCTTTAGAATAATATTTTCTTCTTACTAATAAAGCAACATGAAATATTCTCTAGTTTCGTTCCAAACACACCCTAAAATATTTGCTTCTCAAAGGTAGTTGCCAAGTTAACTACCATATGTCGCAGTAGTTGGAAGCACGTAATATAGTGAATTAACCAATTCTGTCCATTTCATACACCCCTCTCCCTGCGTGTCACCCTCTAACTTCCCCCTTTCCCGCGAAAATCTCCCTCTTCTTCAAACTCTTTAATCTTCTCCCCTTAATTATCCCAAAATCTGGATTTCCCAATCCTAATTTCCATTCTAGTATCACATTTCTCTCACTTAATTAACCATAATTGATGATTAGCGATATCAATTACTTCTTTGATCACCATGCAATTATGAACCGGATCGTTAATCCTACAATCAACTACAATGTCGACGACTCCCGCTAATCTCGAGCCTGAGAAAAAAAAACTAAATCCGATCGCCACCAGTTCACATTCTTCCCACCGGAGCCAAGCGCCTCCGACGCCTTCAACGTCGCCGTCCGTTAATCTGAAGCTAAGGAAGATTCCTCCTATACCGGGACACCATCCAGTTGCTGAAGATAGTCTTTCTGATGAAGACGCTAATGAGGAGGAAGATCATGAAAGCAGAAGCAAAACATCGTTGACGAACGAGGCTTCAATTCTCGGCCTAAACCATATAAGGACTCGTTCCTCTCCATCACCTCTTAGGGCTTGCAATTCTTTCGTTACTCCATTTGATGGAGTCGACAGCGTAGGCTCTAAATCATCCTCCGTTGTTCAACATCCTGCTGGAAATTCTTCCGAACAAGGTGGATTTTGCGTTCCCTTTAATTATATCCTTGTGAAAGAAATATTAAGATTCTCGGGTTGTTTGGTTGCAGTAGTTTTGATTTGTGTATCTCAATTCAAAACCTGGAATATTTGCACCTCTATGGATCTGAAATCTCAAATAACTTTATAACTTATAAATGTGAAATCGCTTCTTAAATCTAAATGTCTCCATCCATAAGAGAATTCGGAAACAAGCTATGATCCCTTGTCTTTGTACTGAAACAATACTGGTTATTTTACAAATGTGGTGGCTGCGGAAGATTGTTTGAGAATTTTAAAATTTAACATGAGAAATCACTGAAGAAACATATAACTACCACTCTGAATAGTGCGTAATTTTTCAGGTAAAGAAGTTCCATGGAGTCAGTCAAGACCTTTGAAAGTGCCGCCACCAAGTATTTCAAGTGCAGAGGTGAACTCACCTTTTACTTTATTTCCTTTTGTTTCATGATTTTATATTCCTTTTTGGAAAAGTTAATTTAATCATTTGGTGAAGCAAATTCATTGTAATTTTTCTCAAAATAGGGAAGTCATGCAGCTTCTTCCAAGGAAATGCAATCTCCACGTTTTCAGGCTATACTGCGAGCTACCAGTGGTCGTAGAAAGAGAGTTCCAGATATCAAGAGCTTCTCTCATGAACTAAATTCAAAAGGAGTCCGCCCACTTCCGTTTTGGAAGTCTCGTGCTCTAGGGCGTGTGGAAGTATGTTGGCTTTTCTTAGCTCCAGTTATGCCACATTTGCTGCCTGAGGCCTTTTACATGCTTATCCTTTTTTTACTGTCTGATATGCCATTCACAGGAAATTATGGTGATGGTTCGAGCAAAATTTGACAAATTAAAGGAAGAGGTCAATTCTGACCTAGGCATATTTGCAGGAGATGTAGTTGGGATACTTGAGAAGACTTCAGAATCTCATCCTGAATGGAGAGAGAGTTTGGAAGATTTGCTGGTTACAGCAAGGCGTTGCACTAAGATGCCACCAAGTGAATTCTGGTCAAAGTGTGAAGGCATTGTTCAGACTCTAGATGACCACCGTCAAGAGTTACCTGTGGGAACCATAAAACAAGCTCACACCCGCCTTCTGTTTATTCTCACTCGTTGCACTAGACTTGTGCAGTTCCAGAAGGAGAGTGGTTATGATGAAGACCACATTTTGTCTTTTCACCAACTTAGTGACCTTGGATTTTATCCAGAACGAATTAGTGGATCAAAAAGCCAGGACTTAAGTGCAAGAAGAGGTCAAAAGTTCCTAGGATACGAGCAAAGCAATCTGCCTGTTAAACATGACCGCACAAATGAAGTCGGAGATACCTTGGAGGTTAGCACTGCAAAAAGTGTTGCTTCTTCTGCTGCAAACAGCTACAGAATGTCGTCATGGAAGAAGCTTCCTTCTGCAGCTGACAGAAGCCGCAGGGGCAATGACTCTGTTGAAACCACCCCATCCAAGGACAAGACTGATAGTCTGCAACACAAAGAGGAGATGGATCATTTTGGAAACACTCCATTATGCCCTCCTGAGAATTCTGAGGAAACTTCAAAGATTAAGAAGGTAAATTGGGGAATGTGGGATCAACCTTGCTTGTCATATGAAGATTCATTTATTTGTCGAATATGCGAAGTTGAAATACCAACTGTGTACGTAGAACAGCACTCGAGAATATGTACGATTGCTGATAGATGTGATTTAAAGGGATGGACAGTAAATGAACGATTAGAAAGAGTTGTGGATACTCTTGAAAGAATACTTGAATCATGGACTCCAAAGAGTACAGACACAGGGGCAGGAAGTCCTGATGTATCAAGAGGGTCTACATTGAATATGCCTGAAGAGTTGAATGCCTTGTTAGTCAAGCAGAATGGCTTGTCTCAGCGATGCTCTGAAGACATGCTAGATTGTCTTCCTGAGTCTGATAGTAGATGTCTTCTGGAAAATGTCAACAGCTTGACTGACACATCTAAGAAACAGTCATTAGCTGGGAGCTTAACACCTAGGTCACCTTTAGTGACTCCACGAACTGGTCAGATTGAGCTGATGCTGAGTGGACGCATAATGGTATCTGAACATGAAAGTTATCAGCAGGTATAGAAAATGAAATGAAATTTCTGGTACTTTCCTCTCAGTTCTGGATGTTTTCTTGAGGTTACTCATTTTAATCTTACCGTTACATTTGCAATCTACTACATACAGCTAAAATCATTTCACTCAAACCTTTACATATTGCTGCTTCTTTTTCTTTTGGATAACTGTTAAGAAAGATATAATGTACGCTAAAGTATACAAACTATAAAATATCTGTTTTTGTTTAAACTATATTTTTAGCCCAAATTCAACTATTTGTGCTATAGAGAGTAGGACATCCCAATCTAATACAAGAAACTTTTCTTTGGCAAAGGTTGGTCTTATTCGTATGCGGTCATTATTGCAAAGTTGGTTTCTTCTTATTGACATTTACAGGATTTGGTGTTTTTTCTTTTCATCAGTTAAAGATATTTTAGGCTTTTTGTGGTATACATTGTTTTATCTGTTAAGGTACTTGAAATCATTCATCAAAGTTACCTATCTTATATTTTCAACTGTTTTGCCTCCTTGTCTTGCTCAAACATATTTAATATTCTTGATGGGAAGTTCAGCAAATTCATATGGTGACAGATGTTCTATTAAGAAAGTTCTATGATTGAGATTGTTGAGCCTTTATTCTGTTTCTGTATAATTGACAGTTAATGTAATTCTGCTGGTTCTCGATTTATAGGTTATTTTCTAGATTTGAGTTAACTTTAGTAGTTTCTTGGTATTATGAATTTGGAAGAAATTGTGTGAGAGGACTATGACAGAATAATTATCCCAGTTGGTTTGAACGAAAAAATCTAAAAATGGTACAAGAGCTGATATCTAGCAATTATGAGATACCAATATCAAACTGAGTAAAGTGCTATGGTTTTACTGTATGTGGTAGCTGGAGTTCAATTAAAAATAAATCATCAATGAAGTGTGGCAGTAATACAAAGGAATTATTTTGGAACAAGAAGCAGTGACGTATCTAGGATTTTCACTAAGGGGGTTTGAAAAATAAAAATGTACTCTTTGAGATTTGAACTTGGAACTCAAGATGAATTTTGAATTCCATAAACTACTAAGCCAACCTCTAGTATTATGTTTAGGGAATTCAAAATCTTTATATATACAGAAAAATAAAAAATTACCTTATATATACCGTGTAATTTTTGCATAGGGGTTCGGGTCAACACCCTCCCGCCCCCCTAGATCCTTCCCTGACAAGAAGGCCAAGGCTTTCTTTGCTCCAAGTCCTTTTGGTTCATGTACATAGTTGATGCCCCTTTCAGAAGAATTTCAACTACATGTTTGTGCTCTTTCGCTCTCCCCCCAAGTCTTTTTTTGGTCCATGGCATGGTTAGTGCGTCCTTCAGAAGAGTTCCCTTGTAAATTGCCTCTTCCAAACTTCATCTTTTCTCTCTCTCTTCTGGCTACCTCCTAAACTTTTATGTTTTATTTTTACTAGTAATTCCCTAAAACCCAATAATCAAACAGGC